TTGCTTTGCCAAGGGTCACTGAGCTGCAAGGGACAGAGCCATAAGGGAGCCTGGTCTGTTCCATTCCCAATCCCTGCTGTTCTCTTGGTGCCTTGGTTTGCTATCTCTCTGGGGCTGCTTTTGGAAGGATGGCGTTTTCATAGGCATGAGGCATGAGCGCTGGAGTGAGAGTGCAGGGGTCCTTTGCTTAAAGAATGCTCTGTGTCCCACGAAGGTTTGAGGCAGACACAGGCCAAAGGATGTCTCCTCAGGTGACTTTTCTGGGGACCAGAGACAAAGAGAGACCCACAGTGTCACAAACTGCATGGAGAACAGGAGTCATGTGGACAGAATGGGGAATCATCAGTCTTTAGGAAGGACGGGTGGATCTCTGCTTAGCTCACTGGCCCGGCCAGAGAGAGCTCACAGATGACCCTGCTTGATTTAAATTAGATTCATTAGCGAAGAAGGTCCAGAGGAACATATTTTAGGGTATAAAATCAAAGGTGGCAACTGGTGGCTCCAGAAGGAATTCCCTGAAGATCTGTTTGGCCTTCATATTTTTCTAAACTTTTTGTTGTTGTTTCTCTAAATTTTTCTGTTGGCTTTAACATTTATAAATTGAGTGATATTACTTTTAATATCTATAGTGTTTGGTCTGTTCTTGGAAACTTAGGAGATTTGGTCAACAAAAACTGGTGTTTCTTCTTGACCCCCAGAGTGGTCAGGAGGCAGAGGGCAGGGAGAAAAGATGCCCCAGTTCAATGGCACCTGCACTCTCTGTCTCACCGCTGTCCCCATCTCTCCAGGGTGGCTCTGTCATTCACTGTGCCTACCTGGCCCTGAAAGGACTTGAGTGTAATACTTCTGCATGAATCTTATTTTCACAGAAAATCTTCTTATCTGTTTATTAGAGACCTGCTATTATTCATTCACTAATTTGATAAATATTGAGTGAGGAACTATTCTATTTTTGACCCCATACTAGACATAGGTCATTAAACGATGAATATTTATAAGGTTTTCATAAAAAATATGAGTAAAGCTTGGTCCCTGTTATCAAGGTGGGGTGAGGTCTATGCCAAGTACTCTGGGAGAAGAATCCAGTAGACTAAGTAACCCCCCTGCCCCCAGATGTCTACATCTGGAACCTATGGATTTTACCTTAAATGGCAAAAGAGCTTTTGCAAATATAATTAAACTGAGATGCTTAGATGGAGAGATTACCCTGGGTTATCTGGGTGGACCCAGGATAATCACAAGAGTCCTCAGAAAAAGGAGATGGAAGGTCAAATTCAGAGAAGGAAATGTGAAGATGGAGGCAGAGGGCAGGGAGAGAAGTTCCTTTGCTGGCAGATTTTCCTCTTGAGCTTCAGGAGAAACCCAGCCTGGCCAACACTTGGATTTTAGCTCTCTGAGACTGAGTTTGGACTTCTGACCTCCAGAATTGTAAGATAATAAATTTGTGTGGTTGTTCACAGAAGCAATAGGAAAAAATACAGGATAGAAATTACTTTTTTTCTGGAGAAAAGAGGAGGCATGGGTTTATGAGGGAGGGTATATTTGAACTGGGTCTTGAAGAATGAGTTGATTAGGTAGAGAATGGGGGTGGAAACCAGCTCAGGCATAGGAAAAAAGAGACATGCAAAGCGTGTTTTAAAAAGCAGGGCATATTTGGAGGTTGGCTTAGGTCTATTATGGTTGGAGCACTAGGTGTGCGACGGCTCTAAGAGGAGATAAGGATGCAGACAGACTGAGGTCGGCACAGAACTGGTCCAAAACTCAAAAATTTTAGAAAGGGGAAGGACAGTCACATTTTTGCTTTAGAGAGACTGCTCTGGCATCATTGTGGAGGGTGGTTGGAAGGAGCCAGACCAGAGGTAAGGAATCCAACAAAGCTATTACAGTGACTCAGGTCCCACAGAGCCCTGGCAGGGACGGCAGGATGGGAAAAAGGGAAGTGATCAGAGGTAATTCTGAGCTAGGATTGGCAGGGCTTGGAGTGTAATGGGACATGGAGAGGGATGGAGATGGCAGGGTCATGATGGCTTTGGGTTTCTAGCTTGGTGCCATGCACTTGAGCACCCTGGCAGTGGGCTGGGGAGGGCAAGAAGCAATGGGCTCCCGTGGGAGGGGCCCATGTTACACTTGGGAAGTGTTGTCCAAAGGAAACTGGCATCAAATCTCCATCCCAGTGCTGTGGCAGGGTGGTATTCTGTATTCCTTTTGAACCCTGACAGGAGCAAGAAACAGGGGGTCTGGGAGTACTGGATCTGTGGTGGCAGATGTTTAACAGGCAGCTCTCTGGAGGAAGAGGGGCCCCGCTGCCTGGCATTTTCTCCTTCTGTAGGTCACTACTTTCATTATGACCAATTGCTAAGTGGACATCACTGATGAAGCTAAGAGACGTGTGGTGCACATCAAAAGGCAGTGTATCCCCTCTACAGTCATCTCAAAGTCCTAGATCATAGTAAAACCTAGGAAAATGAGAAGGAAGTGGTTAAGTATTTATTTCTTTTAGTGCAATTTATTAAATTCTAAGTTTGTGTGCATTATTTATTTATTTTTGGTACCAAAGATTGAACCCAGGGATGCTTAACCACTGAGCCACATCCCCCCCCTTCCCTCTACTTTAAATACGTATTTTATTAGAAACAAGGTCTTGCTCACTGAGTTGCTCAGGGCCTTGCTAAGGTTGCTGAAGTTGGGTTTAACTTTCGATCCTCCTGCCTCAGTTTCCCAAGTCGCTGGGATTATAGGTGTGCGTGCGCCACTGCACCCAACCTGATTTAATTTTTAATACTTTGTTTAACAGCCAGCTTTCAAAACTTTACCTTTGGCCTTGTGAACTGTACAAGCAGGGTCCTGCACCCCACTGGGAGGCCCCTCCAAAGTAAGAGGTAGAAAGGTCTAGAAACCTGCCTACCACTCCTCCACGCTCAGGGTCTCTCAAGGTTACACGCCTAGGGAGGCAGAATGGAGCCCAGATCTAGGAGCAGCTCCCTGGCCTCCACTTCTTTGAGGTGACCCCTTGGGGCCTTGCCCTTTATGGGGTCTCAGACCCAGGAATACAGTGTGGTCCTTGACCGCAGAGATGATGACTCATGTCATCCCGCAGTGAGTGACTCAGGGAAGAGGCTGCCGGACGGACGGATGGCCTGGAACAAAGCGAACTGGGCAAGATTTATTTCTGCTTAGAGCTAAATGGGAGACTCAGATACTTTTCTGCTGTTCCCGGCGCCTTTGAACTGCCTCCGATTGAGCAATTGCACATATTTCCAAGAAGAAAAAAAATGTTTTCAAGTGGACTTATTTTTAAAAAAGAATTGCTGAAGTGAACAAGCTGGAAAGGAAACCTGGGGAGATGTTTTGGCTTATTTCCTGTCACGGCCAGGGGAGGGGGAGAGAGGAAGGAAGGGAAGCCTGACCCTGGCTTGACCGCTTCTTAAGGGGTACAGGACCTGGATCTCAGACATTTCAGGACTTCCTCGACCCCTCTCTTTCTCCAGAAGGCATCTAAATTCCAAGGAGCTTCCTAAGAACCAGGGCACCAGGGCAAGGACAATGTCACCTGTCCTGATTTGACAACATGCCCCTCACCTCCCCAGCAGTTCTTGGTCAGTAGGTCACTGAATCATCCTTCTCAGGGCACCTAGGGATCTGGCAACTCCACTCCTGGGTCCACAGAAATGATTGTATTGTCCCCTGCCCCTGGGACATGAAGGCCCTGTGAGGTTGTCTAGAGGCCTATGCAGACATACCAGCGGCTACTCCCTCTCACTGGGGGCTTCGCCCTGAGGTTCTGGCTGGGAAGTGGGATGCAAGGTCACTGGGCTCAGCTTGGGGTTTTCCCAAGGAAGAGAAGCAGGCTCAGGCCCCTTCTGGGGACATCCCAGTCTGCCTTGTCACTGCCTCTCCTCATCTCTGTCTCCCTCACCCCCTAATCCTATACTAGTCCTGGGGAGAGAGGCTTACCTTCACTTGGGGTGTTTTCTCCCAAATCCTTTTTTCTGTGTCTTATACCCTTCCCATATCCCTTTGAAACCTAAAAGATAGGACTGGGCTGTTTCTTCTCTACCTCCTGCTGCTACAGTGTCCCCAAGGCAGTGGGCACAATGATGTCTCCAAGGCCCTGAGATAAGGGTCATTGGGGAAAAGGAAGACCCCGGGAAGTGAGGGGCCTCATGGCTATTTACTTCTCTTGGTGCACTTCCTCCCTGCCCCCTGCACAGCTGAGCACCCCCAGGAGCTGGTCCAGCCTCTCCTTACGTGGCCTGGCTCTGGTCTGCAGGTGTGGACTCTCTCTGGGAACCCCCAGCCCACTATAGAGATCTGTGAGAGTGAAAAGTGTGGCCAGAGACACTGGGGCCTGCAAGGTTTCCCAGAGAGGGGCAGATCCCAGGGAGCTGGGGTGCTGGGGTCAGGCCCTGTGCTCCAGCCAATGGACCACAGGAGGTGGTGCTGAGGGACAAGTCCTGGGGAAAGTGCCCTCCGATTCCTCATCCTTCCCTCTCTTTGCCCAAGGCCTTCTCCCCACTCCTCCACCTTCTCCACCCCTCCCTACAACCCCATTCTGCCCTACAAGCAAAATATGCTTTCTGAAAGAATCTAGGGCCCCCACCAACAACTGGGTGTGGTGACGTCCTCTGCAGTCATTCATCTACTGGCCAGCACTGTGCCCTGTGCTCTTCCAGGACAGGACCTGCTCTAGGTCACACCTCTTACTTGTGGATAGAAACCTCTTGTCCTTTGGGGCCTACCCTCACCACAGGGGTGGCAGAAAGAACTGGATGTGAAACCAGACAGACCACACTACAGATCTAGGAATGACCACGGTGCAGATCTGGGACTGACCACACTACAGACCCAGGACTGACCCCAGCACTGACCTGGGCTGTCCACAGCCCTGTGCTCCCTCTCCCAGCCCAGTCATGTTTGCAGAAGGACCCTCATCCACAGGGCATGGCCTCTGAGGGCTCTAATTCCAGGCCTGATGATGTGCTATCTGTTTTTCTGTACAGATGAGAAGCCCATGGCCAGGCCAGGACTGTGTCTCCTCGACTCGCAAGAGACCAGCCAGGGGATTCTGAGCCACCTAGGATGAACTGCAGGACATCGGGGCCGTGGTTGGGTCGTGATGCCATGGCTGAGAGAACTCAGCAGCCTGCTCAGTGCGTGGGAAGGACCCTATGGAGTACATGCTGTGTGCCACCTTGCACGCACTTCCTAATTTAATCCACACGACGGCCCTAAAAGGTGGGTACTACTACTTCCATTTGACAAATGAGGAAACTGAGGCTGGAGAAGACAGACCCAGCAAGGAAAAGGCAGAGCGAGAGTTGCGGCCCCGTCTGTCTAGCTCTCAAGCCTTCTGGGGACCTCCCAAGACTAGGAAGTGAGTGGGTGTCCTGGGGTGGGCCTCCACCAGGGCACATTTATGGGATACAGGACTCAGCTCTACAGTTGGCCAGGCCCAGGAACCACAGAAATACCTCCCAACACCTTGAGCTCTTTTCCAGTGCTCAAGGATGTTCTCCAAGTCTGCCCTAGGTGAAGGCGGGGTAGGAGCGTCCTCTTTCTCAAGAGCATGAGACAGATCTGGAGGGGAAGGAAGGTGGGGGTGCTGCTTCTTGATGCCAGCACGTTTGCTTATTCTCTGTTACAAGCCCAGCCTCCAAAATCAGATGCCAGAAAACTTCCAGGGCAGCAGGGGCCAGGAGTTGGGGAACCTTCTTGGATGCTTCCTGCCTCCCAGGCATGGCATTGGTCTAATCTTTACTCCTGTCTGGGTCTCAGTTCCCCGTATGCAGAAGTGGGAGCAGAGGAAACACTGACAAATCTCCAGGGACCCTCCCTGTCCCTTCTGGATTTTCAGAGGGGTTGAGAAAGATGTGTACAGTTACCCCAAGAAATCCCCTGCCTCAGCTCCTCATCCAGAGAGAGCTAGACCAGATATTAATAGCAGCCTAATCGCTCTCACATTCTTTATGTCTAAATGAAAGCAAAATCCCAAGCTGGAAGAACAAAGTCCTCCCTTCTGAGCAGACTGAGTCACTCCATGAAGGTCAGCGGAGCCTGGTTAACCCCTGCTTTCCCAGATTGGCTTCTTGGCTCTTTCCCAGTGACAGAAATTAACAGAGAGACTGAGCCACATGGCACACAGGCTGTGCTCCTGGGACACTGTGGTTTCAGAGAGGGCTTTGATCTCTTCTGGGCTGGTCACACAGCTCTGGGAGAGGCCACTGCCTGCCAAGAATGCCACTCACAAGGCAGAGGGCCCCACAAATAGCTGGAGAGTCAGACAGATCTGCAGTGCCATTCAGAGACCATGTGAGGTTGGGCAAATCTTGGGCCCTCTGTTTCCTCATCTGTAATGGTGACTGTGGCTGGCCACACCAGGGCTTGCACGGTCACTCTGTCATGGCAGCCCTCTCCTGCAGCCCACAGGGCCCTGCAGCAGTTCTTCTCTGCAGCTTGTGGAACAGCTTGTGCTCTTGACCTGGAGTGGGACTTCCTGGGGTGAATTGTTGGATGAACAAACCTGTGGTGTGAATGGAAGAGTCAGGAGGTGAGGGGGGAGTGGATGGCTGATGCAGTGACTAGAAGGATGAAGGAACACCCCTGTAGCTTCACACGGTGGGGGTCACGCAACCTCAAACTGTGGCCCACTCTTTTGCACTCAGAAGACCCCTGGACTGGCAACCAAGGTGCTGGTGTTGCTTTCCCTTCCCTGCCCCTGGGAGCTGATGCTCTGGTTCTCAGTGGGTTGTGGGGCACCCGAGCTAGGCTTTTCTGCTACACTCTAGCAGAACTCCTGGTGGAGAAGGCAGAGGAAAAAGATGATAAGCCTGGGAGTCAGATGAGCCTGGTTTATAATTCTTGCCATTTGCAACTGTGTAATCTTGAGCAAGTTGCTGAACCTCTCTAAGTCTTCATTCTTGAATATCTTCAACAGGAATAATCCAACCTATTCCACGAGGGTTAAAACGAGGGTTAAACAAAATAGCAAAGTAGCACCTGAAATGTACTAGCATAGGGCCTCATACAAAGTAGGAAACCTAGAAATATCTGATGCATGCAGGTGTGAACAAAAGTATACTCCACTAACAGGGGCAGATAAGCATATTTAAGGTTGGGACTTCTAGCCTCTTGAGTTACACAAATGATGGAAAGTTACTCCAGAAGAGGCTCTTGGATAATTTGCACCAGGTGAAAAGGTTACTAAACCCAGTTAAGTTGTGTCTCCTCTCTGCACCTCAGTTTCTCTTCCTGTTAAATGGGCCAGGTTCTATTTAAGCACTGGCTAGAGGCAGATTGAAGAATGGAGTCCAAAGAGCTGATTGGTTCTTGGGATAGTCCCATCTAACCCTTTCCTGACCCAGCTGGAGAGAGAGCGAGAAGGACCGGGAAGCCAGTTAAAGAAGGAGCTGCAGGGAGACCAAACATCACCAAATGTTTTTTCCTTTTTTGGGCTGGTGCTCTAGATCACCACTTCCTGGAGATTGTATTCCAAACTCTGCTGTGATGAATGTGAGGTCCATGTGCCCATGAGCTCCTGCGGAACCCAGATGTCACTCTGGGGGAGGGACTCGGCTTCTACCTTGCTATTTTAAGCAGCCAGTTTATAATAATGGATGGGAGAGAAAGCAAACAGGGCCAGAGCAGCGTGGGAATGGCTGCAGGCAGGGCTGCCGGGGCTCCTCTGAGCAGCGTGGGTTCCACCTTGTCAAGGGTGGGACCTCAGCCACCATCCACTCTGCCTTCCTCCTGCAGCAGGCCGCCACGTTAGTGTTTGACCGTCTTCAGTCATTGCTGTTTGCTTTGCTGACCAGGGACTTTTGTGAAGAGAGGGACGGGGAAGGGATATAGAGGGTTAAAATCGGGGTCTTTCTGATGTGATGGTGGAATGTCGTGATTCCAGAATTCTGGGATGAAGCCTCAGGTTTTGCAGTTTGTTGTGACTAAGAAGAGTCCAGGATTTCAGAAGGCAGGACTGGAAAGCTCTTGGCATTGGTCGGGATTCCTGTGGCCCCTGCGCCAGCCTTTACAGGAACTCTCCCAGGACTAGGGAGCTCTCTGCCTTAAAGAGTGCCCTGTTCCATCTTCAGAGAGTCCCAGACACTACAAGGTTTCCTTTGCCCTCCTTCTCTGACCTTTGTGTCACTGGTCATGCACCTGTCCTTTGAGGAACAACAGTCTTCAAATGAACGCCTTTCAAACCTCTGTGAAGAGATTACACTTTTCCCTGTACCTTCTCATGTCCAGGTCAAAGTCCTCTAGTTCTTTAAACACAAGTTCTTGTCCTCTGAACATCCTGCTTCCCCTTTTCTGAACATGTCCTAATTTGTCTGAATCCTTCTTATGCTATGGAGCACAATGCACTTTTTATAGTTTAAGACCTAAAGGAAAGGTGGAACAGTTACCTCCCATGTTTTGGAAACCATACTTTTATCAAGATACCCAGGACCTGCAAATCTTGAGTGGGAGATAAGACCAACTTCGTTAGTAGAATTGGGGATTGGGGATATTTTTTTGCTGTGGTGCTCTGACCATATAACCCCTGCTACCATATACTGTACTCGGTATCACTGATATCATTACTGCTGAATTCCACGTAAAGATGATAGAAATTAACCACAGAGCTCACTTTTGGGAGAACCTCTCAATGTATTCATATAGTAGCCCCTTGGGATGGAAAACACATTGCCTTGGCCCCATGACTCTCAGTCCTGAGAGCCAGGTTAAATCTGCACTGGTGGCCTCTCTTCTAATCTCATCTATTCTATCTAGATAGATTCCATTTGCATTTCAGTGTTCATGGCTCAGCTCAAACACTATTTATTTTTGGGGGGCGGGTTACTGGGGATTGAACTTGGGGGCATTCGACCACTGAGCCACATCCCAACCCTTTTTTGTATTTTATTTAGAGACAGGGTCTTGATGAGCTGCCTGGGACCTTGCTAAGTTGCTGAGGCTGGCTTTGAACTTGCAGTCCTCCTGCCTCAGCCTCCCAAGATGCAGGGATTATGGGCATGCGCCACCACTCCTGGCACTATTTCTAATGTAGAATCTTCACTAACATTTCATCCTCCTTCCCAGTTTCCATAGTTAGGGACTCTTTCCTGTGGTTTCTCACTGCCAAAGTGTTTACCCCTTTATACTGTTTTCTGAACTGCCTCTAACCCTGGACTCCGTGCTCCTGGGGGGCCAAGACCACGTGCTCAGCATCTTGGTGTCACAGTGCCTAGCACAGGCCCAGCAAAGTGTGTTTGTAGAGAAAGAATGAATGATGTTCAGTCCATGCTGTACTTGAGATTTCTTGAGGTGACCAGCAGGGGTCGCCCCCACCGTTTCCCAGCTGAGTGGGGCTATTGAATTAAGAGCAGAGAAGCACCCGTCATGAAGGTGGTCACCTTGACGAATCCCAGGGCTGAGGGTTTCTAGTTCTTTAAACCAACAGCCATTTTTGGTGAGTCTTTGGAACATCTGCAATGAGCCAGACACCTTGCCTTCCTCAGGGAGCGAGGTCTGGAGGTGTGTGTTGGCAAGGGTCGGGTCCCGGAGCTGGGGCCGATGCCAGATTCTGCCTTTCCAAGCCCTTTCTGTGGATGAGAAGAACCACCTAATATCATGGAAAGTGGTGGAACTTTCTGGCTCTTCCTCCTGCTGACCAAATTAGCAGTCAACAGCACCTCACCTAGCACCTGTGACCTAGAAGGTGCTCAGGAAATGACAGTGTCCTTCTCTCCATGGGGAGGAGGTTAGAAAACTGCCAAGGAAGGTTGTGTGGTGTAGTGGAAAGAACCCAGGCCTCCAATCAGGAAGATCCAGATGCAAACGCTTGGTTCTTTGTGTGATTCAGGGCAAGTCGCCTCCATTCTCTGAGGAAGTCCGTTTTGTAGAATGGCACCCTCAATGCCTACGTCAGAGGTCCTCAGGAGGATTCAACCAGATGATGATAGTCATGCTCCTAGGATAGTGGCTGGCACACAGTAGGCACTCAATAAATGGTTCACAAATACCAACCTGATCCCAACGGAGTATCCTTCATGAGCTACAGCTTTGAGGAGTATGAAGCACTTTTCTCCTTTCTGAAATAGCTCATGTTTACTGTAAGGACCAAATTAGATGCAAAAGGTCACCTCTGACTTTGTAAACAAAGCCAGAGAGCCGGAGGAAGTGCACTTCCAAATGCCCTCTCCTAGCCTAGCTTGACCTCAGGCTTGATGCAAACTCAGGCTGGCTCTCTCCGTGGCTCTTGGCTCCTGGAAATGGAACCCAGCTTGGGACAGGGGTGGGAAGGAATTTGACTTGTCCTTTTGGCGTCTCCCCAGCCTGCGGAGCCCAGGCCTCTTGGAGCATCTTTGGGGCTGACGCAGCAGAGGTTCCGGGCACACGCGGCCACTCCAGCCAGGAGGCTGCCATGCCCCACATTCCCGAGGACGAGGAGCCCCCCGGAGAGCCACAGGCAGCCCAGAGCCCTGCCAGTCAAGTAAGTGCCCCCCTTCCTGTCCATGGCTAGCCTGGCTGGGGGCCAAGACAAGTGCCCTGGGCTGAAGCCACAGCTCTCAGCAGGTCAGGGGGTTCTCAGGCAGCTTGTGTTGTCTTCAGTGGTACCTGGGAAAGGTATGTGGCTTCCAAACAGAGGAACACATCACCCTGAGTTCATTTGAAGTGACCATGACTGACATCCTGCATGTGGAACCATCTAGGCTTTATGGGAATTCAAATCCCCTAACCCCGCAGCCTCCTCCTGAATTGGAGAAAGGCTTAGAAGAAAACCTGCCACACAGTCCAGTCACATCGAGGTGGTGATGGGCACCAGCCAAAGGCCACTTAGAGTGAATCAGCCTAAAATAGAGATCAAAATTTCATAGCAAATAGTGAAAAGAGTATTCAGTGAAATTTTATTATAAAATAGGACATGAGGAAAATAAGTTAATGAAGATAATATCATCAAGCAAATGAAATTATGAAAACAAGTTGTTTTTAGCTATACATATTACAAAGTGTAGATTATATGCTAATTTTCAGATTGAACAAAGAATCAAGTGTTGATTTGGGTGCTGATATGTTTATTCTTTTTTATACCAACAAAATGTGATGCCACATTCCCTAAGATTTATTTTATAATACCTTCTTAAGAGACTGTTTAGTATTTAAGGGCTTCGTTTAAGGATCTCTTTAAATTCTTTGCTATTCAAACCACCCAATTTTGAAGAACCTGTCTTGCCATCATCCTCATTATTTTTTCTTAATTTGTTAACTAATCCAGCGCCATCTGATCCTTGTTGGTCAAAGACTGTGCACATGAAGGTGCCCAGCCTTGTTTTCTTTACTTCATGAACTTTGCAGTTGATTTGCACTGAACTTGTATCGTCCTGTGCTATTTGACAGTCGTCCAAACTGACCAGCACCACTGGGATGGACACTTGCTAAGCAAGGCAGGAATGTATGAGTGAGCATTATTGTTCCAAATGGGCAGATTCCTAGTGAATATGTTCATGTTATGATGACATTTGTTTTCTTATACATCATGACTGTGGGAACTTAGATAGCAAATACTTAGAAAAGAATGGTCCCTGTATCCCCATATCCCAAGTTCATGGGTCTGAGATGTCGTAGAACTTGGCAGCCTTGGGGTGGCAAGATGTCCTTTCCTTGAATGCCTAAATGACTGTGCGTCCAGTCCCATCTCTCTGTCTGCAGATAGAAGCTCAGGGTTTTACAAGCACCCCACGCCCACCCTGGGACATCTTGGGCCAGAGTGGGTCCTTGATTATCAGCAAACTTCAAGGTTGCCAAGTTCCAAGAGCTTGGGGACTGAAGAAGGAAATGGCAACAAGGAGAAGCCACAATGGGATTGGAACGTGACCTAATCCCAGATCCTCAGGTCATGACTTCCCCTGGGCTCCTCTCCTGATGGTCACCCGACCCTTAGCCCATCACCAACAATGGCAGTGCCCTCCTCATGTGAAATCTAGCTCTCCCATCCTGGGCAACTCCCCCGAAGAGCTTCCCCAAGAATAAAAGCATTCCTAAAAACAGAAATGAAAGATTAGCAAAGACACAGCTCCATTGTCAGGGAAGATAAACTCATTTTCTATTGAGTTCTAGTCTTCCTGGTTCTAATGTTTTTTTTGTTTTTTTTTCATGAGACGTTCTTTCATACCATACCCTCAGGAGTACTTCTGGCCCTTCTAACTCTCATGACTTCAAGCTACACATAGGTACAGGTCCCGAGGACAGAGCGAAGGTGAGTTTCTAGAGGAAGTCTAGGAGGGGAAGGAACCAATGAGCTTACTGCAAAGGCAGGGGTTGGAGACCTTTGATTGACCAGCAAAAGCTCCAGATTCCAGTTCCCCACAGGCTCAGTATCCCTGTGACCTCAAGCCAGAACCAGACTTCTACAAAATGATAGCATGAATTCTGATGGCCTCTAGTCCTGAGACCTTGAGACCAATTTGTTCGCTTTTTCATGTCTGTGATTCCTCCTGTGTCAACTAGGACAACTGAGCTGTTGCCTTTGGTCTCTGTTCTCAAAGGGAAGAGTTTGCAAAGGAAACAGTTTGTAGCCAAGGACTGAGGTCTTAGGGGACCCCCAGAATAATAGACGATCCGAGGTAGAGGATCCCAGATCACAGCCCCACATAGCCAGAGAGGTGGGGGACCATGCTGCTGAGGCAGTTTAGATCCCCACCGCATGAGACTCAACATTCTTTTACTCTCTTCCCTTACTGCCTGGCCCTAGCCTCTCAGACTTCTCCTAGAAACCAATCAGGTGTTGCCACTAAAGAGCTAAAATGCTACTGCTATTGCATCCACTAGACAATCCACATTGGGCTTTTAAGGCAGCCTCAGCCTTGGGGGAGGGTCAAGTCTCCTGAGCTGGGCTGAAGCCTCCAGGGGCCAGGGCCGGATCCTGAGTGCTTAGGAACAGTGGAAGCCAGGCAGCCAGGGAAGTGGGCTGGCCAGGAGGATGTAGCGGAAGTCCTGGTACCGTGTGAATTCCCACTCTGCAAAGCAGGCAGAGAACAGAGCATCCTTCTGAGTTTACAGCTCCCCGGGGTCCAGCCCTAGTTCTGGTTGCTCTGGCCCCAGCCCCCATTTCCCATCGCTGGCATGAGCAACTAGCTGAAGCCTCCTCACACAAAAACACATAAGCTATGAGATTAGATTCTGGTTTTCTCTCTGTGTGCACATGCACGCATATGCAGTGTTTGCTGGGTTGGCCCATAAATAGTGAGGCCCTCAAAGGGAAGAGTTTGCAAAGGGAAGAGTTTGTAATCAAGGGCTCTGGAAGGATTGAAGCTGTCAGGACACAGGTCTGGGGCCTTTGGGGACCCAAGAATAACAGACCATCAGAACTAGAAGATCCCAGATCTCATCTAACCTCCTCCCAGACAGGCAAAGCTCTGTAACATGAGCCCTAAACCAGTCACCTAGGGAACTTGTGGACCCCAGGCTCTTGAGCACCCCAGACCTGCTGAATCTTCAGGAATGAGTCTTGGGAATCTCTAGGAATGTTTTGATGCCAGGAGGCTCACCATCTCATAGGAAGTTTGGGCTGTGATTGGCCACCTCTGTCCTGGTTGAGTTGGATCCACCTCCCCAAGGCTGTCCCTCAGTTCTACCCCTGACAACAGCCTGTAGCAGATGAAATCCTGTAGAGCCAGTTTCTGGATCTTCCCAGAATCTCCTTTCCCATTGTCTCTCAGTCTTTGCTCCAGTGACAGTGTCCAGAGCCTGAAAGCAAATGCCAATCTGTCCCCATTTCATTGTACAGCCCCAGACCCCAGAGTCAGTCTGACAATAAATCAGGGATTTCCTGGCCTGTGCCAGCAGCCTTGTTTGGAAGCCAACTCATGGGGACAGCATACCAATCTCAGAGGTGCCTGGCAAACCTGGGGGACAAAGAGGCTCATACTAACTGTGAACCAGATTTTTCACTGGTTCTGACTTCCACTTGAGAAACTCTACTCTCCAAGAGTTTCTGGAAGCCCCCAGGGCAGGTCACTCATAGGCAGACCTCTTCACATCATCTGCCCCAGCCTCCCTACTACCGCCCCGCCCCCATGTCCATTACCCACAAAGCCACTTAACAGTGACAGCTAATCAGGTGCAAGTACTATTCTACTGTATTAACTCATTTAACTTCCACCCAGTTAAATGATGTGTTCCTTCCTGCTTCATAGTTGAGGAAACGGAGGCACAGAGAAGTGGACTACCTTCCTCCAAAGTCACCTAGCTAGCAGGTGGCAGTTCAGGATTTAAACCCTGGCCACCTGATCCTGGAGATTGCACTCAGACTTTTCCTTGGGACCTCCACGAGAGTTCTGGGGCCTGGGCCAAAGGGACTTTGTCCTGGGCTACCAAGCCACTGATCTGAGATCTCCAGAGCACTGTAGCTGTGGCATGGCTCACACCAAAGGCCCTCTGCTCACTGTCCTCTCAGTTGCAGGAGCCCCTTGGGGCCAGGGAGCAAAGCTCCAGTCTCACATCCTGCTGCCCTGTGACTTCCTCATTCTCCCTCAGCCAGACATAAAGCAGCACAGCAAGATGCACGCTGACTCCGAGAAACACAGACCACCATGCTGCAGCCTGGTGCGGCCTCGTCCATGAGGCACTCCAGGTCTCCCAGAGCAGCCACTGTGTGCTTCATATCTGAGGCTCTAGGCAGATGTTTAGCACTGAAGGACAGTAACGACTTGTGGTTTAAGATATCATAGCTCTTGACTAGCCAATGGCCTCCCCACCAAAATTTTAAGTGTCTCAGATGAGGTTGGATAAGCAATTCTTGGCATGGTGCTAAAAGGCAGGGGGGGGGCTGTTTTTAAGGTGTCTAGAACCTTTATCCATCAAGCCACTCTTTTGGCTTAGAATTGGAGACCATGGTAAGGGCCACCATAACAAATGGGAGTGACAGGGTTAGAGACCCATCCTAGCTCCCACCCTCCATCAGTGGGCTGGGCCAGAGCCAATATAGGGGCTCTAAGAAGAGGCATTGACAAATAGCCCACCCCTCCCCACTCAAGCATCCAGAGAGTCCTGGAAGCTGCAGGAAATGCTCTGGGTCAGAGGTACACAGGTGTCACAGCAATAGCAGGGGGAGGGGAAAGCTAGGCTCCATTTTCCTGA